ATTAAAAAAAAAAAATTCCAAATATGCAGACAAAAATCAAAAACACAAAAAACCCTATCACAAGACCACAAAACCACAAGACCAACTCTCATCTTCTCCATCTTCCAAAACCCACAAGACTTTTCTCCTTCCTCCTCCATTAACCCACAAAACCTAGAAATTCAAAATCATCAAAACTCAACAAATCTTACAAAGATGGCAAGTATGGAGTCAGAAGACATCAAAATAGAAGATTCTATGATGGAATAACCCAAGAATGTATGCATTTATGGGCTTTTTAGCTAGAATATCGATTTTCCAAAAAAAATCCCGCGCAAACGAATTCGACATGTACAGGTCGAATTTTACAGGTAAAAATCGACATTCAGATGTCGATTTTGAGGTATAAAATTCGACATTTAGATGTCGATTTTGAGGTATAAAATTCAACATTTGAATTTGTGCTATAAATTCGACATGTCAATGTGGATTTTTACCTATGAAATTCGACGCTTGAGTGTCGATTTGTAGCATAGTTTTTCGACACCTTGGTGTCGATTTTTGTTTTTTTCTCATTACTTGTATTTGGTCTTACATGAGAAAAAAAAAACCAATTTAATTTATGGGCATACTTGTCATTCCATCTTAATAAAATAGAATCTTTTGGAATCTTTCTTTAATTTGGTCTTGCACAAGTGGAATGAGTATTGTATATAGCCGCAGCCTTATTTTTTTCTTAGTTATCCAAAATAAATTAAAAATGAAAAAAAGGGAAAAACAACATACGAACAAAGGAAATAAGTATAAATTATTAATTAATATACAAATGTGGCTGGGCCCACCAACCCCTTCTATAAAACCCACCCACCCCACCCACCCAACCCAACCATCCGAATTGTTTTAAGCCGCGGGGCCCACAGATTTAAAAGTTTTTACTTCATTTTTTTATATTAAAAATACAAAATGGCCCACATCTCACCTTGACACATGTCAGCATTTTAAAACGCGTCATTATAAATGACGCATTATGGTATTTGTGAAATAGCTTTGAAATGTGTCCTAATTTTGCAAAAAATTGGGCCACATGTTGTAGAAAAAAAAATGGCCCTTAGAATCCCATTACAAAGCCTACAAGTTGTAGGTTACAACAGCTGTAGTGGGCAATGATATGAGT